TGAGGAGACCTTTGCCCCCGTTGCCAAGATGACTACTGTCCATACTTTGATTTCTGTTATTGTTGTTCTTCATTGGCCTCTCTATCAGATGGATGTTAAGAATGCTTCTTAATGGCCATCTCGCTGAGGACGTCTATATGCGTCCTTCCCTAGTTTTCCTCATTCCTCTGGGCGGGTTTGTCGTCTTCAACATGCTTTGTATGGTTTGAAGCAATCTCCTCGTGTTTGGTATGATCGCTTTCAGACAGTTGTGACTGAGCTTGGGTTTCATCATTGTGCCCAAGACTTTGCTTTGTTTCTCCGCCACACCTCTACTGATTTTGTTGCTCTATTACTGTATGTGGATGATATGATCATCACTGGCTCTAACTCTTCTGTTATCTCTGAGGCCAAGTAGCATCTCTTCCGCATCTTCGAAATGAAGGATCTAAGCATTGCAGTATTTTCTTGATGTTGAGGTAGTTTCTTCTCCCAATGCCTACTTTCTATCTCAGGCTAAGTATGCCAATAAGGTTATTCACTGTGCCGATCTTATTGACATTAAGATTTTTGATACCCCCATTAAGCTTAATGTGAAGCTCAACACACTAATGGTGTCCCTCTAGATGATCCTACTTTACATTGAGAGCTCGTGGGTTGTTTAGTCTATCTGACGGTTACTTGCTCTGGTTTTGCCTATGCTGTTCATGTGATTAGCCAATTCATTTCTGCTCCTTGCTCTACCCATTGGGTTGCTTTGGTTCGGATTTTTCGCTATCTTAACGGTACTATTTTGTAGGGTTTGTTGTCTTTTACTTCTTCATTAGACTTGATAGCCTATCCTGATTCTGATTGGGCTGCTGATATCATTGATCGCAAGTCCACTTCTGACTTCTACATATTTCTTGGTGATTTCTTGATTTCTTGGAAGAGCAAGAAACAAACCGTTGTTTCTCGTTCCACTGTCAAACTTGCGTACCGTGCTATGGCTCATGTCACTGCTGAGATTGTTTGGCTTCCCTGTCTCTTATCTGATTTGGGTGTCCCTTAGTCTTTACTGACCTCTCTATTGTGACAACCACAGTGCTATTCAGATTGCGCATAATGCTGTTTTCCATGAGCCGACGAAGCACATTGAGATTAATTGTCACTTTGCCCTTCAACATTTGCAGTCTAGCTCTATCTCGCTTCCTTTCGTCTCTTGGGCTTTGCAACCTATTGACTTTTTTATCAAGACTCACACCACTGTTCGGTTTCAATTTCTTCTTGGCAAACTCTCAGTATTTTCTGCTAAAACACCTTGAGTTTGAGCAGGGGTGTGAGAATATTGTGTGAATATTTTAAGATTGTGTTAGAATGTGTGAATATTTTGTTCTTAGGATTATTCTTATTACCTGTTTAGGATTAGGCCTAGAATTGCTATATATACATTAGATGTACACTTTGTATTGTTTTTACAATTGAAGATAAAGATTGTTCATTCAGAAATCTTACAGCTACCAATCAAATGTGTGATGAGAGGACAGAGCCTTTAGAACTATTATTATTTGAGAGACATTGTGAAGCAGATTAGTGTTGATTAGGTTAGGTCAAAAAATTAGTTTAGTGATATACATTTACTAAGTAATACACATTAGGTAGTCTTCTTTTTACCATAATATGATACTTAGAACTAGATTTCATCATTAGCATCCTCTAATAGATAAACTAGGCTATGAATAGGTGTATGGTGGATACGGTTTTGGTGATAGAAATGAGGCTGAAGAGAGTATCTTAGATTTTGCGTTGGCTTTTGACCTGGTGGTAGCCAATACTATGTAAAAGAAGAGAGAAGAGCATTTGATAACTTGTAAGAGTGGGTCAGTTAAGAGCCAAATAGATTATTTTTAATAAGAAAAGTGGACCGCCTAAAATGTAGTGATTGTAAGGTGATTGCTGGAGAGAGCTTGGCCTTTCAACATAGGATTTTGGTACTAGATTTATGTTTTAAAGGGCAATACCAAGCTAAGAAGGATGGTGGGCGTCGTAGGACGAGATGGTGGGATCTCAAAGGGGATAAACTAGAAATATTAAAGAATAGAATGGATAAGGAAGGTGCTTGGGATTTGGAAGATGACGCAAACACTATGTGGAACTCGATGGCCAATTGTATGAGGAGAATCTGAAGGGAAGTGCTTGGAGAGTTGAAAGGAACGAGACCCAGCTCTAGGGAAACTTGGTGGTGGAGGGAAGAGGTTCAAGCGGTTGTTAAGGTAAAAAAAGAGTGCTTTAAAAAGTGGCGGAAGGATAGAATTGAGGAAAACCTTAAGCGCTATAGATTGACTAATAAGGAGGTCAAGAAAGTAGTGAGGAAGGTTAAGTTGAAAGCTTATGATGACCTATACACTAGACTATACAAACTTGCTAAGATACGAGAGAGGAAAATAAGAGATTTTAATCAAGTTAAGTGCACCAAGAGTGAGGATTCTAAGGTATTGGTGAAGGATGAAGAGATTAAGGAGAGATGGAAGAACTATTTTGAGAAACTATTAAATGAGGAACATGGATGTACGTCAATAGGGGAAGAACTATCTTGAGAAACTATTAAATGAGGAACATGGAGGTACGTCAATAGGGGAAGAAATAGCTAGTAATATGATAAATCAAGACTATAAGTTTTATCGCAGGATTAAGAACTTTGAAGTGGAGATTGCACTTAAGAAGATGAAATAAAATAAGACTTTAAGACCCGATGATATCCCTATTGAAGCTTAGAAGTGTTAGAGTAAAAAGGGGATTGCTTGGTTGACTAGATTGTTTAGCAAAATTTTGTTGACTAGGAATATGCCAGATGAGTGGAGGAAGAGTATTTAGTGCCAATTTATAAGAATAGAGATGTCCAAAATTGCAATAACTATAGAGGAATCAAGTTGATGTGTCATATAATGAAAGTGTGGGAGAGGGTGATAGAATGCCGGTTGCGAGATATAACAGTGGTGTCAGAAAATCAATTTGGGTTTATGTCTGGCAGGTCAACAATGGAAGCGATCTATCTGTTGAGAAGAGTAATAGAAAAGTATAGAGAAATGAAAAACGACATTCATATAGTGTTTATCGACCTTGAGAAAGCATATGATAGAGTGCCTCGGGATATAATATGGTGGGTGTTAGAGAAGAAAGGGGTGACAAAATGTTACATTGATGTGATTAGGGACATGTATGAAGGGGTGGTGACCACTATTAGATCTCCTGTTGGAGAGACAGATGAATTTCTTATCACTGTAGGGCTACATCAAGAATCTACCTTAACTCCTTATCTTTTTGCGTTAGTAATGGATGAGTTGACGAGAAATATTCAAGATGATGTGCCATGGTGTATTCTTTTTGCAGATGATATCATGTTAGTGGATGAGACTAGAGAAGGAGTTAACACAAAATTAGAGATTTGGAGAAAAACACTTAAATCTAAAGTATTTTGGATAAGCAAAACTAAGATAGATTATATAGAGTGTAAATGTAGTAATAGTAACAATGAAAGTAGAGGAGAAGTGAAGATTGAGAACTAATAACTGCCTAAAAGTGAACATTTTCGTTATTTAGGGTCAATTTTTACGACGACGGGAGAGATTGATGCGGATGTGGCCCATAGAATTAAGGCGGGATGGCTTAAGTGGAGAAGTGCGTTTAGGGTGCTGTGCGATAAATGAATACCCACTAGACTAAAATGTAAGTTCTATAGAACGGCTATTAGACCATCGATGTTGTATGGGACGGAGTGTTGGGCAACCAAGAAACAACATGTCGATAAGATGAGTGTTGCTGCGATGAGGATACTAAGGTGGATATGTGGCAAAACTGGACGAGACAGAATTAGGAATGAGTGTATTCGACAATGGATAGGAGTAGCACCGATAGAAGATAAGGTGAGAGAGAATTGATTGAGATGGTTTGGTTATATTCAACGGAGATCAATAGAGGCAGTAATAAAGAGATGCGATGCAGTGATGGTAGATGAAAGTGTTAGGGGACCGGGTAGGCCTAAATTAATTTTGGCTAGCGTTGTAAATAGAGATATGGATCTACTTAATTTGACTAACGAAATGGCCTTTGATAGAGCCGTGTGGAGAAGGAGGATTCATGTAGCCGACCCCATTTGATTGGACTTAAAGTTTGGTTTGGTTTAGACATTAATATAATTTTCATTCTGTTTTAATAGTTATACTACATCTGGGCACTTTTCACCCTCAAAATCCATGTTTGTGTGAAATTGAATTTTGAGGGCATTTTTGTAGATGATTGTGTAAATACTGTTCAAGTCTTCCTCTGCGCTTAACATTTTCATTTACACTCTTCCTACCATTTTTTTTTGAGTATCAACAAAGAATTTTATTAAAAAAGAAGAATGAGAGAGGACAAGAAGTCCTCAAAACAAACAGAGAAAGAAAGGTAGAACAGTCAAAACTCTTCCTTACCATTGCATCTACTACTGGTGTCCGTTGTACATAACCAAACCATTTTAATATCTCAACTTATCTTGAATTGGTTTTATTCCTACCATGTCACAAATGTGCTAATTTCTAATTCTGTCTTTCTTCATCTTACCACATGTATATAAGAATCTTCATCTTAGATAAACTCAGTTATTAACATATTTTCTAGTTGTCTAATATTTTGTCCTGTAAAGCATTGTTGGCCTAATAGTTTCTTTTACAGTTATTTCTGAATAATCATGCAAATGGAATATGGTTAAAATAAAGTCAAACTACTCAAAAATTAACTGCAATCCATTGCCGCAATGAAATCAAAATTCTACGTCTTCATCTTAATATTCAATGAGCAGGTCTTGAATTATCCCAGATTATCATTTTATTTATTTTTTGATCGGCAAATCCCAGATTATGTGATTTCACATATTAACTATGTAATACCTAACAATTTGACAAAGTCCCACCCTTGACTTTGGATCTGTTTTCTTCAGGACTTAAGTGAGATGTTGTCTCAGGTTTGGATTTTTTACTTGTCATTTTTTTAATCTTTGGCAGAAATATTTATTGTTGAAGGAGATTCGGCCGGTGGTAGCACAAAACAAGGTCGTGACAGGCGCTTCCAGGTGACATTTCTGCCCCCTTTTTTTTTTTTTTTGGTAGTAGCTAGCATTGCAAGCAATAGTTATAGCTTCATTTGGACTCGAATACTCTATTATTGTAAATTCTGTTTCTGAACTGTGTATCTCCTATTAATTTATATTTGCTTTCATGTAAAATAAGTGTTCATTCAAAATTTGAGTTGCTTAATTTTGGTGCTCCCTGGGCAGCACTTTCTGGAAATAAGTTGTCATATGATTAATATTTGCACAAGATGACCGTTTTGGGCAAACAGAGAAACAAGAAAGAAAGCGAGAGAGAGAGAGAAAATGTTAAAATCGTAAGTAAGTGGGGTGAGGGTAGAAACAAACTCAGTGAGTGAACTCGTGTCTTCAGAAACCTACAAGTCACCTCTGTTCGAGCCAAAATCTGGCAGGGGCACCTAGTGGAGTGCAAAAGCCAACTTTGGCCTAGCTTGCTCAAGCCCCCTTCATGTGCAGGATTTGGGTGGGACCTCAGTATACCTTCAAGAGTCCTGTTTTTAGAAACTCATGCAAAATGAGACAGGACTTAAGGCGAGTAGACAAAATCTAACGCGACTTGTATGTCAAGTGTCCTAATTTGATTAAACATGCAATGCAATTATACCTAAGAGCGTAACAGAGTGATAACTTCCATCTTTGGGTCCAATTCTTCGGCCTTGACACTCTTAAACACTCAGCTTAGTCTACAAGCCCATTGCAACACATCCCATTGACAACAAGGCCCATGTTTTGTCAAACGGAATTGTCAACACTCAACTTTACCTTACCTAAATCCTATAGCATAGGTGTTTGTGTAGAACATTATTTTAGGTCTTATGTCAATTTGTCCTGTAACATATATTACAGATCAGATCCATTCGGGTTGAGAGTGATTAGGAAAATAATGCTCTGCTCCTTATTCACTTCTTGTTTGTCAAATGAGCTCCAAAAAGCTGAGCCTGTGGTTGGTTGTTTACCTCTCTTTATTGTGTTGTTCACTCTGCCCTGCATGCATAATATTTTCCTGTAGCTACAGTTACTTACATTGATCTGGCCTACTTTATGGAAATGGTGATGGTTTTCTGAATTGATAGAATTTACAGGAGATATCTCTGCTTTGTACTTTGAATTTTATCAATTATCAGGTGTCCTAACTGCTTCATTCTTCAGGAAATGTATAATAATAATCACCGTAGAAAGATTGTGGTGACTTGATGCAGGCTGTTCTTCCCTTAAGGGGTAAAATTTTGAACATTGAAAGAAGGGATGAAGCAGCAATGTACAAGAATGAAGAGATTCAAAATCTTATTCTAGCTCTGGGACTTGGAGTAAAGGTTGACTTATTTTATGCTATTTTATTTCTTGTCAACTGTTTCACCTATTTCATTGACTGAAATTTCCTGGTTTCAGGGAGAAGATTTTAAAAAGGAGGCTCTCCGTTATCATAAAATCATAATCTTGACTGATGCTGATGTAGATGGCGCTCATATCCGAACATTACTATTGACATTTTTCTTTAGATATCAGGTATGTAATTGATAGAATCCTTGTTTACATTTACTGGTGCATAAAAGAGTAGAAATTATAAAGGTATTCTGTAAATGCTTGGGGGGAATCAGTTACACTTTGGTTTATGAAGTTTTTTTATTCCTTGCAGAGGGCTTTATTTGATGAAGGATACATTTATGTTGGTGTCCCGCCTTTGTACAAGGTTTGCCTTCAAATTTGATAGCTTCAGCTGACTTCTGGAATAGTAACTTCCATAATTTTTCAGTTCTCTTTGTTGGAATAATTAGGTTGAAAGGGGAAAGCAAGCATATTATTGCTATGACGAAACAGATCTGAAACGACTACAGAGTTCGTTCCCTCCAAATGCATCATATAACATTCAGAGGTTCAAAGGTAACATGAAAAGTATGATATTCTTTATATTCTGAATGTGGTGGGTAAGAAAATGGAGTAGGGATGCCATATATCTACATCGATGTGCACATCAGCATATTCTGAATGTGGTGGGTTGTGTGTATTTTAGTTGAAGTAAGACGATCTCTATTGTATCAAGGGTCGTACACAAAGAAAGAGCTCTCTGTGATATTCTTTATTCTCCACTTCATGTTTAGAAGAAAATGGAGTAGGGATGCCATATATCTACATCGATGTGCACATCAGCATATTCTGAATGTGGTGGGTTGTGTGTATTTTAGTTGAAGTAAGACGATCTCTATTGTATCAAGGGTCGTACACAAAGAAAGAGCTCTCTGAGCCTAACGTTAGATTAGTTTTCCATGTGTCTTTCATTGCAACTCAGTGTCAATAGTGCTGAGAGAATTACTTAATTTAACTCCAGCTTCATTTCATTTAGTAAAAAAAACAAAATTGGGAAATAGAATGTGTGATGATGGTATTTCTCCAATGATTGGAGCATTATTCATGTTGTGATGATGTGCCCAGCAATTATGCCAATAAATAAAACTTCAAATTTATGGAAGCCATTTTCCTTTAATTCAGAGCTATGTAGAGTTTTTTATTGAGCAAGCTGTCATTTGATTTAATTGGAACCAATGTATGCTCCAAGAACTCTATAATTTCTGTGAGTCTTTTGGTTCATGCCAAAATTTGAAATATCCATGAACAGCGAAGACATGATGTGAATTCACATCTTCCATCTGTTCTTGTATTGGGTTGATTCAAGAGGAAACCCTTTTTAATTTGGAGTTCCATTTCTCATGGGCAATGTCCATTATTCCAAATTCATTTCTTTCAAGTGGCAACATATTTTGGTTGTTTATCCCAATTTTTATTTTTTGAATTGCAAAAAAAAAAAAAGTGATTCACGTGTTCACTGTGCTTGTCCTTGAGGGGACACATTTTCTGTGGCCGGCACAAACTTCCGTATCCTTTCTTAATTTGAGCATTCAACTCGTGCAAGATATTATGTCATTCCCAAGTTTAGTCTTCCTCTAATGATCCTGAACTGTTTTCATTGAACTTGCTTTGGAAGTAGATTCATGTTCCATCCTTTCCACTTGTTTTTCACTTTATATGTTTAAATAAATGGAACTCAGGTTTAGGAGAGATGATGCCTTTACAATTATGGGAGACAACACTTGATCCAGAGAGAAGATTGCTAAAGCAACTAGTGGTTGAGGATGCAGCAGAAGCGAATGTTGTTTTCTCCTCTCTTATGGGTTCCCGGGTAAGCAGATGCATTAATTATTTATTTATATTGAATGGAAACAAAAGAGAAATAATGTTAAAGAGAAAAAATGAATTACAAGAGAGTCGAAGGACAAAAAGTCATCCAAAAAGCCAAAAAGAAAAAAAACAATATCACAAATTACATGTCACTACACACTGCCCTTCAATCCCTAGAAATAAAAAAGGATGGTATAACCTAAAAGTAGAGGAGACCAAAGCCCAAGAGGAAAACAAGAAACAAACTCTATCCCATAAAAGGTTAGTAGATGGACTATAGCTTGTGTTGGAGTTGGTCATGATATTCTGAAGCAACTTAGGTACTATGGCTTGCGACAGAGAAATTTTGCAAGCTCGGAGCTTGTACCTACATATGTATATAAATCTATATATATATATAGAAGAGAGTGACTTGGGTCTTTATTGTGTGGGAAATCACCAGAGAACATTCTTGCCAATGTGTTTAAAAAACTTGAGTGGATTATTCTGTCAAGTTCATGCACACATACTGTAGCATGTTTTTGGCACTTATGGCATTTGATTTGTGTTTTCGCCTGGTATGTGGTCCTGTATGAGGGCCTGCACATCGAACTGAAGCCTTCATAGAAATGTGATCATTTTAGATCCTAGGTAACTAAGCTTCTCAATTGCCATGCTAAATCAATCTTGTTTATATATGCATTTACCTATTTGGATTTTAGTTAGACATCATTTGTGCTTGTGCTTGTACTCGTAAAAAAGAGAAGAATAATAAGATCTGACTTTTGAAATTCTGTTTTAGGTGGATGTGCGGAAGGAACTTATTCAGAAATCTTCAGGCATGATCAACCTTGACCACCTCGATATCTGAACAGGGTATATCATCAACTATAGAAGGTTGAAAATTGTTTGCACTGTATATTTTACGAGGTCAATCAAGTGTAAACGCTTCACGAGGGCGAAGAGGCAATCAAATGTAGACATTTTTATAATTTTGTGTGAAGCGGATGCTCTTCTTTAGTGCATTTTGTCCATTTTAGGTGTACCGGTAACATGCATGTGATGTTCTGGAAGTATTGAAGAATACATGTTATATTTCTCTGTATTCTCATTCCTAAAACACTAGTTGCAATAGCTTGTGAGATTGTGTTATTTATTATTAAGCAATAGGAAAAAATTTCTCATGTTGAGATCTTAACATGAGAGAACTTGAAGGGCCTATAGGGCCCATCACAAGTACCAATGTATAATATTCATGAAAAAATTTAGGCCAATCTGATAATTGTAACATTTTCATTTTATAATATTTTTTTTTAAAAAAAATGAATGGTTTATTTTAAGAATATATCTATCGTTTATTTTTCAGTGACAAATACAATACAATGAAAAAGTTGCGAATATTGGATCGAAATAATTTTTTTTATGAATTTTAAACATTGAGAATTTTATAAAATTAACGGTTCAAATTATTGAAACGGGACTTGTGGTAGGCTGTATAGGCCCCTCAAGTTCAATCCAAAAATTAAAAGTGTTTGGATCTTGAATTTGAAAGGAAAAGTGAAAACTCTAACTTGTAATTCTCACTTTTCCTCTCCATCCAAAAATCTGTCTACAAATTCTAGATTCAAGTGCAATTTGCGTTGATGTGGGATTATATCCATTTTACTGTCTTAGTTGTCAGCTGCTCTCCTTCTACTATTACTTTCTTCACCAACTTTACAGGGGTTGTTGATTGATGATGTAGGAGATGATGGGTGATTCATATTGAAGGACTTCACTGATGATGATGGATCCGTGTTGTGGTTCAATTGATTAGCCAAGACAATCTCCAATGGAGAAGTTGAAATTGTTTGTTACAGCGTGTTACATGACAAAAAGTCATAATTTATGAAATTTAATTGTGTTGAGCGTTTGTTAATTTAGTAATTATTCTAGTGCTTTGATAGAGATGTTAAAGTGTTAAATATAGAATAAGATGTAAAAAATTATGGGATCTTCTGTTGCTCTTTGTTCATTGCCCTTTTTCTTCTCTCTTGTTTAGTGCCTTGGCACAGTTTAGCACTTGTGTTGTTGCTTGGCACAAGAAGCTTTCAATTAACCCGATCCATGAGCCTGATCCTTCCGCACCCGAGCAAACCAAGTCACGTTGCAGGTCATGTTCTTGCATTTCTTTCATTGGAAAACTCCAGCTCGTGATCCATGGAAGGCTTTGATCTTGGTGACCAGCAGACTGGAGCGGTGGGTCTACGAAGGTGAAGAGAATTCCTAAAATTCTAGGAGGATTTTTTTTGTGATTTTAGAATTGGGACAGTGGGACACTAAAAATCATACATAGATCCTACACTGACTATCAAACTGATCAGTGCATTGTAGAATTATATATTGTCACATATAGCATAAAGTTTCTCCTATAACTTGGAATTAGAGGTTTTGATAACTTAATTTAACACGTAAAATTAAATTTATTTATTATAATAACTCATCATTTATTTTCTTAAAATATATTAAAATGTCATGTAATTATTTTTTTACATTTAAATCAAATGAATTTTCCCATCATCTATGCATAGGCCCTGTTTGGTAGGGTTTATTTTCAGCTTATTTCAGTTTTTAGTTTAATTTAAGCTATTTAGATGTGTTTGGTTCAGTTTAACAATACAGCTTATAGCTTTTTGTAAGTCAAAAATCAATTTATTCTTTGAGTGTGGGAGGAGAAACTTAATTTATAAGTTAAAAATCAGTTTATGTTCACAGTTATAAGCTATAAACTGTTAGACTATAAGTTATAATCATTTTCCCACAACTCTACCAAACGGGATCATAGTCACACCTCATGGGATCCTAGTGACCATTGTCTTGGATAGAGATCCGCGTTTCACGGCTTAGTTGTTACAGAGCCTACAGAGTGCCTTAGGTACTAGGTTGATATTAGCGCTGCATATCACCCTCAGACTGGCGGAGAGTCTAAGTGCCCCATTCAAATCTTAGAGGACATGTTTTGCAAATCGCGCTTTAACTGTTTGGAGGCCAAAATTTGATGAATAGTTAAGGTGCTATTGTGAATCGCGAGTTTAATTAATAAAATGCTGTTTGGAATAGCGATTTTATAAAACGCTATTATGAATAGCGCTTCATTTTGAGAAAATGCTATTCAGAATAGCGACTTCACTATGCATCACGTTTGTGAATAAAACGCTATTTGTAATAGCGACTTCACTGTAGCTAAATGAAAACGCTAATTGAAAAAGCGTTTTTAACACTGTTATAAAACCCCGTCATTTGCATATATGTTTTTCACACTTACATTTTTCGTCTCTCGATCTACAGACTCTCCATCTCTCACTCTTCATCTCTCACTCTCCATCTCCCTCTGCTCTCAGACTCACTCGATCTCGCTCTGCCGGCTCACTATCGCTCTCCCTCTGCTCTCTGCTCTCACCCTGATCTCTGCTCTCTCTCTCTCTCCATGGTATGACATTTAACCCTAATTTTATGTATTTATTTTTTGTGTTTGTGAAAATGTGATGTTTTTTAATTTGCTTTGAATGTTAGGGTTTTATATGTGAATTATTAAATGTGTTAGGGTTTGGAATTTTTTGGGTTTGGAATTTTTTGAATTTGTTTGTGGAATTAGGGTTTGGAAATTAGGGTTTGTGGAATTTTTTGAATTTTTTTTTGAAATTAGGGTTTGGAATTTTTTGAAATCAAAAATTAGGGTTTGGAAATCCGAAATCAGAAATGTGAATGCTTTTGAATTTGTGGAATTTTTTATGCTTTTGAATTTTTGGATGTTGCTTGTAAATTGAATATTTGGGTTTGGATTTTTTACGCTTTATCAGTGTAGTGTGGTTATGAAATTAGGATTCTAATGATAATTGTTGCTCGATATCAGATTGTTCACACATCCTTTTAGAATGACATTTTAAGCTTCACATTATTAAGGGTTGTAATGATTGTGAATTTTTATGCTTTTGAATCATAAATCAGGTTTGGAAATTTTTTAATTTTTTGAATAAATCATAAATATGAGAATTGAGAATTGAAAATTGGAATTATGAAATTCATAAATTCATAAATCATAAATATGTTAATGTCATATTATGAAATTCATATAATTGAGAATTGAGAATTGAGAATTGAGAATTGAAATTATGAAATGTTTATATTTTGAAATTTGAAATCAGAAATTGGAATTTTGAAATTATGCTTGTGAATCAAAATGTTTATATTTTGAATTTTAAATAAACCAACTTATATTTGTTGAATTGGAAATTGTTTTTTTTTTTGCTTGTTAAGAGGAATTAAAAGGAAATTAGGGTTTGACATTAGGGTTTCAAAAGTAATTTTTTTTTAATTAAGAATCGTGATTAAAAAATCCGAAATTCATATAATTGATAATTGTTAATGTTATATTATGAAATTCATGTAATTGAGAATTGTTGAATTGGAATTACAAAATGTCTATATTTTGAAATTTGAAATCAGAAATTGGAATTTTGAAATTATGCTTGTGAATCAAAATGTCTATATTTTTTTAATCAAATTATGCTTCAGAAATTGTTAATGTTTATATTTTTTGAATCAAAATGTCTAATTTCTACTAAATGTAATTATTAAACAAAAAATATTTAATTTTGAATGTATTTTATTAAAAACAAAATTGTATTTACTTCAAAATAATAAATGAAAAGATCATGTTCTCTCAAATAAAAGATCATGTTCTCTGAAATATTTAATTTTGACTCTATTTTATTAAAAAAAAAATATTTTTATTGACTTGAAAATAATGTATGAAAATATCATGTTGTGTCAAAATATTTAATTTTGACTCTATTTTATTTAAATAAAAAAATTTTGGTTTAATTTCGTTTGGTTTATTTCACTATATTTGGGGTCAGGCACCCAGAATATGATTAAAAAAGTTAATGAGCTGAATTTGTAATACATATAATAGCTTTATAGTACAAATTAAAATTTCCTTTGAAAACTTAAGAAAATTTGAAAAAGTTCTTGAAATGGGTATTGAACGAAGTGACTTATCGCCATTTCTGCTCTGTGACTGTCCACCACCATTGAAAAGGAAAATCTAAACATTATGTTTTAATAATTTTTATTTTTATTTATATAATTACAAGTTATTATTAGACTAGTTATAATATATGTATGAAAAGAGTCTTAAACTATTTTAATTAATAGTCCATAGCAATTTCGTAGGTAAGAAGGAAAAAAAAAAAATGGCACTTTGATGGGTAAGTCTGTGTTTCGTAATACCAAATAATTGGTACGGATGGCCCGATAGATTCACATGGATAACTGTTCAAAATTTAGTCCATACATTTAACCACCAACTTCAATTTAATTCTCTCTAATGGGTATTGAACGAAGTGACTTATCGCCACTTCCGCTTTGTGACTGTCCACCACCATTGAAAAGGAAAATCTAAACATTATGTTTTAATAATTTTTAATTTTATTTATATAATTAGAAGTCATTATTAGACTAGTTATAATATATGCATGAAAAGAGGCTTAAACTATTTTAATTAATAGTCCATAGCAATTTCGTAGGTAAGAAGGGAAAAAAAAAAAAAGGCACTTTGATGGGTAAGCCTGTGTTTCGTAATACCAAATAATTGGGTACGGATGGTCTCTCTAATGGGTATTGAACAAAGTGACTTATCGCCACTTCCGCTTTGTGACTGTCCACCACCATTAAAAAAGAAAATCTAAACATTATGTTTTAATAATTTTTATTTTTATTTACATAATTAGAAGTCATTATTAGACTAGTTATAATATATGCATGAAAAGAGGCTTAAACTATTTTAATTAATAGTCCATAGCAATTTCGTAGGTAAGAAGGAAAAAAAAAAAATTGGCACTTTGATGGGTAAGCCTGTGTTTCGTAATACCAAATAATTGGGTACGGATGGTCTCTCTAATGGGTATTGAACAAAGTGACTTATCGCCACTTCCGCTTTGTGACTGTCCACCACCATTAAAAAAGAAAATCTAAACATTATGTTTTAATAATTTTTATTTTTATTTACATAATTAGAAGTCATTATTAGACTAGTTATAATATATGCATGAAAAGAGGCTTAAACTATTTTAATTAATAGTCCATAGCAATTTCGTAGGTAAGAAGGAAAAAAAAAATGACACTTTGATGATGGGTAAGCCTGTGTTTCGTAATACCAAATAATTGGGTACGGATGGTCTCTCTAATGGGTATTGAACGAAGTAACTTA